ATGTTCAGTATCAAGCATTGAGCTACTTTAGACCTAAACAGTGATGACCACTCCTCTTCTTCCAATAAGCCACCAGTGACTACTCACATAAAGAAAAATAACGTCATCTGATGATCGCTTATGGTGTGAAAAAACCAATGCCGAGTATTTCTGATAAAGAAGCTTCTTATTGTTTACTTTATAAAAATTATATGGTACAAAATTTAAATATCTTTATTTATTAAGATTATCATATCGCTTATTATAGTTGGATCATACAGTACTTGAGGGAGATTCAATGAATTTTTATCTATTAAAATGAAAGCTTCAAATGTGTAACCCTTTAAAAATTTGTAACTTTGACACGCAAAATTCGATGTGTAATAATCTCTTTTCATGGCAAAATGATATAATACTTCTAGACGAAATACAGAATAAATGTACGTAAACTAAACTAAACAGTACGCATAGCGTGCTAAGTCAGAAGCAGTTGCTGCTAAGTTGGTAAAAGAGAAAGAGAACCAACACAGAGTGATTTTTGATATTTGTTACCAAACAATGTTTTGTGATTTACAGTGGCCGTTAATAATTAAGTATAACTCACCACTTCAATGTTAAGATAAAAGCTGTATTTAATTATAACCGCAAATATGTAATTAACAAGAACAAAGAAGAAAAAGTCAATCAAAGATAGTTAACCAGTCCAGTAAATACCTTGTTAGTAGCGTAGCTTTGCTTAATGTCCGGTAAATCCTAAATCAAAATCCAGATCATCGACGCACAATAAATCACACTAATTCGACTGGATAGTTCCACTCAATAGTCAATCAATAATCCCTGCAGTCAGTAGCCTGAGAGCGCTATTTATACACCTAACGGAAAACATATATTCATAAGTACAGAGTGTCATGCTGGAACGGCGGTGTCGGTAGTTAATCATTTTCTTCCCATATAACACAATGTCAAGCTTAGGACGTAGCGTTTCTATACATATCAACTGAAGTGTGTGTGTATGTCTGTGTGTGTGCGTGCGTGTAAATGTTTCTCTGTGTGTATATGTGTGTGTGAATGTGAATGTATACACCTTTGTGTAAATTGAAAGAAAATAAATATTTCCATTATTATTTACATTTTTCGTATTTTTCCAATGAAACATGACCCAGTGCACATAATAATACTTCGTATGTCCATTCCACAAAGTCGTTCCTTTCAGATTGACCACAGATTCTCGACTGGATTTAAATCAGGAAAGTTTCCTATAGTACTTTCATCCGCTCACTGGTAAAGGTTGCCAGTGTTCTCATGCAGCGTTACAATTTTCGTACGTTTCCTTAGAGCAACGCCCATCGCAAACAATGACAGTAAGACAAATAATCAACAGTCGAGACAATAGTGTCAATTATATTTTTCAAGGCCAAAAGAATTACATCATAAACCCCGAAAATAGATACATATTACTGTACACCACTGCAAATGCCTTAATCTGAGGAAAAAATAGAAATCGATTACACCCTGTCACTCCAGTCCTGACCGTATGGTGAAAGAAAGGAAACTAAAGTGGGTGTTTCAATTAATTTGCAGAAGGGTGTAATTCTCTTATACCCGACATCAAACAAATTATTCGACAACAAAACTAAATTTAAAACTGGTAGTTCGGATAGATATAAATATGTTTTTAAAAATATTAGTGCAGATACAGAAAAAAAACACACACACACACACACACACACACACACACACACACACACACACACACACACACATATATATATATATATATATATATATATATATATATGATATGGCAGGCTTTATTTTGGTGTAAAAGTGCTCAATATCCGAGATAGAACATGTATAAAGATAAGAGTGACAACTAGAAGTCAATACCGAGTAGCAACAGCCTGTTTCATGCTTAAACGCATTCCCCAGGCCATATGGGTTGGATAGTAGCTAGACTCAATTAAACACACACCCACACAGAGAGACACACTCACACACACATACACACAAACGCACACACATATATATATATATATATATATATATATATATATATATATTATTTATATATGTATATATATTATTTTCCTGGAGATTGAATAGCAGTGGTTAATCGATTGTTTGCCATCAGAGACGTATATATTATGATATGTGGCCATTTTCGCTCACGAGTATCCTTGTCATAGGAAGAAATCTCTGCTCCATTTCAGTACACATGAATTCTTGAAAAATGGTGACCATCTTCGAAAACTTTGCACACAGAGTTTGTAATTGAAGGTTTAGAAATGTTTCTGCTGAGAAAGTAGAAAGCATTTGAAATCAACATGTCATGCATTCGTTAAAATCTTTTATCGATCACTGACCTATGATATTATGGATATCCAAATGTTTAGTGTATTTCAAAAGTAGCCAGTCATAATCAGCATGAGACTAGCGTTTCATTACTCTTCGTATATATATATATATATATATATATATATATATATATATATACGCTGTTTACATTGTTCAGTGTGTTGAC